CCATTCAACCCTCCTCCCACCCGGGGTGTAAATGCTGCTTGGATGGACCTGGGGTACTGCTTTGCCCAACCTGCCCAAAGTCCGGGGATCAGGGTGGGCTGACTGAGCACTAAGCTGGGCTTTGGAGGGTCAGTGGAGTGGACAGGACGGCGTGGGGCGAGGGTCAGAGGGCAGCATGAGCGAGAAGTGGGGTGGGCTGGCTTGGGGGGCAGGTTGCTGTGTAGGGGAAGCTCAGGACCCTTAAGCCGTGCCTCAGTGGCCTCCCCTCTCACGAGCACTCTGATCGGCAGCTGGGAGCCTCGGCATCCCAGGGACCTGCCAATTCCCTCGGGCCGCGGGGCCAGCCCAGCCCAGCAGAGCTGTCTGCCTGGTGTGAAAATGAAGATTGATCACCGTGGAAAGGCAGTCCCGGCTCTCCAGAGCCAGCCGGGAGTTGCAGAAATACAGAGCTTCATTATTATTTTAAGTGTTACTCAGCTGCTTTATTGAATTCTCCAAGTCAGGAAAAATTCTGGCGAGATAAGAAGTTGACATTTTCAGAAGCAGCAGCGAGAACTGCGCGGGCGGCGAGGACAGAGCAGAGCCTGCTTGGCGTGAGAATGTCTCAGCCCACCGCCCGCCACCCACAGCCCCACGCACACATGTGGGCTCTTGCTGACTCAGGGACCAGGGTGGCTTAGCCAGCCTCGACGGACAGCCAGTCCAGAGGAAGGCAGTCTCAGCAGAGAAAGCCCAGCCACTTCCTGTCCCTCCCTTCCTCCCTCCCTCTATTTCTCCCTCCCTTGCATTGTTGAGCACCTACTATGTGCCAGGCCTGGGGCATGGACTAGCTGAGGATGCCATCCTTTCTCTAGTTAGCCTCAGAGTGATGGTGGGCACCACAGCAGGACTTCGCACACGGCGATGCAAGTGTGCCTGAGTGACAGCAGAGGACAGGTACAGGGCCCCGGGGAGGGGCGTCACCCTCCCCAGCTCAGCGTGGCTCATGGTCCTCCTGCTCACCCCTGGAGCAGAGCCCGGTGTGCAGAGATGCTTAGCAGTGATGTGTGAAGTGCAGGATGGAAGAGCAGGATGGAAGGGAAGAAGATATCTCTGGAGGGGCCATGAGAAGAAGTTGCCATTCTGGTCTCGAAGGGGTGTGGGTTTCCTTGGGAGCACCTAGGAGGTCACTCTGCAAAGGCACTGGCTGGACAAAGCCTCCTCAGTGATGGCCAGGCTGGTGCAGAGGGAGGGCAGAGGACGAGGCAGAGGACAGGGGTGAGACGGAGGACAGGGATGAAGGCCTCTCTCCATCTCTCTGGCTCCTCCTCCTCCCTTGTCCCCAGAGCCACAGTCAGTCCCCAGCCTGCTGTGCTCAGTTCCCTGCCCTGTGTGCCTGGCCCTCCAGGCAAATTGGTCCTGGTCCCTGTCCTGGGCCAGGCCACACAGCACACGATGATGCGCCCAGCTCCTCTTTCCAGGGACTTGCCGTTCAATCACGAGAACAAACACACGTGTGCACACAGCCAGGTCTGGGATGTCTGTGTGCCTTGGGGGCTTTGTTTGGACGTGGAGCCTGGAAGAGCCTGGGAGGACCTGGAGGGGCTGGGGACCAGGGAAACTGGGGGAACTGGTTCCAGCCCAGCTGGGGCCCGGGAACAGGCCTGAGGCTGGTGACTCCCAGAGCCACGTGCTTGTACAAGTGGACAGTCACCGGGTGGTGTGGCGCCAATATGCACATGGCTTTAGCGGGTGATTGTTACTGCTGCCCTGCCTTTTCCTAAGGGGAACGAATTCATTCCCTGGACACGTATGTTCTGAGCCCCCTGCTCCATGCAGGAATGCTGGACAGGCGGGGTCTTGGCATAGACCAACCCTCCTGGTGTCCCGACAACTCACCCCCCAAGCCCCAGGGGTGCACTCTCCCTCCCACTGCCTGCTCCAGTCTGGGCCTCTTACCTGGGGAACCCCGGCGCCCTGTGACCCCAGCAGGCCGTTCACCCCGCAGCTCCGGGTGGGGCTTGCTTTCAGGATTCTTCACCCCTTTCCATCTAAGGTTTTCCCCTGTGTTTAGATTCCTCAATGCCTCCCTGGGATCTGCCGGGTCCCCCTTCCTTCCCAGGGCCCTCTAACCCTCCAGGGCTCCATCCCCCCCCAGTCCCATCTCCCTGGTGTCTGCCCTAACCTGGGTGGTCACCCCCCACTCTTCTCTCTGGGTGTTGGTTCCACGTCTGCCTCCCCCATCATACTAACTCCATGAGGACAGGGGCCTTGGATGCCTTGACGGCCAACGCTATGTGTTCAGAGTGTGCCGAGAATCCAAATGGGTCATTTACCCACAACTCACTGTGATCCCATCAGGCCAAGGCTATTATCCCCGCCTGATGGACGTTAACCTGGAGGCTCATGTGAACTCACACAGCCAGGCCTGCCTGAGCCCAGAAGGAACCACTTGATTACTGTGACCACTACACGGTGCTGGTGGAAAGAACGCTGTCCTTCCGCTGTGGGTCTCCAGGTGATGGGGGCAAGTCCAGGGTGGGGGACTATAGGGCAGGGTGGGGTGAAGGAGAGGTCACTGGAAGTGAGTCTTGACCACCAGGAGGCAAGTGTGGGGGGAAGAAGGAGTTGTAGTAAATCCAGGCAGCCTGCATGGAGGGGGTGAGTGTGTGGGGGCAAGAATGGGTAGGCCAGGGAGTGGGCATGGCATGGCGGATAGTGGGGGCTGCTGGCTCCCAGTGCCGTCCTCACATTGTTTCCTGAGTCACCCTGGGGAATCGGGTGTGATGTTCTGCAAATAATACACATTATGTCATTTAATCCTCCCCAAACCTCAAGGCCTCTGGGGTCCCCACGACCTTTCTCCTTTCTGCTATTCAGAAAGATCTGCAACAATGTAACACTGACCCTGCTTCTCACTTTTTTTTTTTTTTTTGCTGGGGGAGGGGGCGGGAGGGTTTAGAAAATACAGCTTCATAAAAGCATGTTATATGCATCAATATGTAATTTTTAAATGAGTTAACATTTTTAATGTATATTTTGTTTCTAACACTGTCAACATGGATAAATAAAACCTAGACAAACAAATGCTTTCAGAGGCTAATTTTGAGGATGTGAAGGGGTCCCGCCCAAACAAAGTGGGACCCCAGTGCAGAAGCCAGCCCTGTGGTGGCCCTGGGGGTTGGGTGGGGGACCCAAGAGCTGGGCTGCCGCTCTGCTCACCTCACTTTGCATGTGGTGTTTTTCAGTAGGGGATGGGAGCTCTGGGTGCCCCCAGCGGCAGAGCCATGAGGAGTGGGGACAGAGGTACCTGGAGGCCGGCAAGAGGCTGTACAGCAGCGATGGGGATGGAGGAAAACCCGCGCTGCAGAGCTTTCAGAGGGAGCATGGAAGGCCTGGGTGTGGGTGGGTGGGGACCATACCCACAGCCAGGGTCCTGACGGCCCCAGTCCCGGCACGCCCCTAGACTTCCCCTGGGGTCTGAAGCAGGAAGGAGCTGCCCAGCCCAGTGAGCTGGAACCTGCAGGACTCTGCAGGCATTGCTTGGTCCCTCTGCAGAAGCTCAGAAAGGGAAGTGTCATCTGTCCCAGCAGAACGGAGGGCCTGGGAAGTGGGAGGCCCATTCCTGCTGCTGATGGCTCCAGAGATAATCTCCCCCGGATATTGACAACGCAGCCTTCAGGGATTTTAATATCATGGCTCCATGGGGACACTGTGATGTCTGCTGTTACTAAGCGGCTCATCATCTGAAGCCTGGGTGTGGGAGGGACCAACTCAGCCACCCATCTGCGCTTCTTACAGCAGCACACTCACTCATTCACTGACTCATTCATCCATTCTGCCCCTCTTTACCCACACACCCTCCCGTCCTTCCAGCCATTCATTCAACCATCTACCTGTCCCTTCATGTATTCATTTATCCACGTGCCCACCTGCCTGTCCACCTTATCATCCAACAAGGTTAGAAGCACCTACTATGTGCCAGGGCACGAGTCTAGGGAGATAAAAATGACTTGTTGGTATTCCCTACCTTCGAGGAGCTGGAAAGTCCAGTAAGGGAGATGCTGCTACTGATGGTGGTGGTGATGGTGATGATGATGATGATGGTGGTGATGATGGCAGTGTGACAATGGTGGTGGTGGTGAGGGTGATGGTGATGATGGTGATGGTGATGATGGTGACGGTGGTGATGGTGATGATGGTGACGGTGGTGATGATGGTGATGGTGGTGATGATGGTGATAATGATGGTGATGATGATGGTGGTGGTGAGGATGGTGGTGATGATGGTGATAATGATGGTGATGATGATGGTGGGGGTGATGGTGGTGGTGATGATGGTGACGGTGGTGATGGTGATGATGGTGATGGTGATGATGGTGACGGTGGTGATGATGATGGTGATGGTGATAATGATGGTGATGATGGTGGTGGTGATGATGGTGACGGTGGTGATGGTGATGATGGTGACGGTGGTGATGATGGTGGTGGTGATGATGGTGATAATGATGGTGATGATGATGGTGGTGGTGATGGTGGTGGTGATGATGGTGACGGTGGTGAGCTGGTGATGATGGTGATGGTGATGATGGTGGACGGTGGTGAGATGATGGTGATGGTGGTGATGGTGATAATGATGGTGATGATGATGGTGGTGGTGATGATGGTGACGGTGGTGATGGTGATGATGGTGACGGTGATGATGGTGATGGTGGTGATGATGGTGATAATGATGGTGATGATGATGGTGGTGGTGATGATGGTGACGGTGATGTGATGATGATGGTGACGGTGGTGATAATGATGGGTGATAAATGATGGTGATAATGATGGTGATGATGGTGGTGATGGTGGTGATGATGGTGATGGTGATGATGGTGATGGTGGTGATGATGGTGATGGTGGTGATGATGGTGATAAAGATGGTGATGATGATGGTGGTGGTGATGGTGGTGGTGATGATGGTGACGGTGGTGATAATGATGGTGATAATGATGGTGATAATGATGGTGATGATGGTGATGGTGGTGGTGGTGATGGTGATGATGATGATGGTGATGGTGGTGATGGTGATGGTGATGATGATGGTGGTGATGGTAATGGTGATGATGGTGGTGGTGACGGTGGTGGTGGTGATGGTGATGATGAGTGGTGATGATTGTGATAGTGGCAATGGTGATGATGGTGGTGGTGGTGATGATGGTGGTGGTGATGATGATGATGGTGGTGGTGGTGATGATGGTGATGGTGGTGATGATGGTGGTGGTGGTGATGGTAATGATGATGGTGGTGGTGATGATGATGATGGTGGTGGTGGTGATGATGGTGGTGATGGTGATGATGGTGGTGGTGATGACAGGATGGTGGCTGGTGGACGATGGTGGTGGTGACGGTGGTGGTGGTGGTGGTGATGATGGGTGGTGATGATTGTGATAGTGGCAATGGTGATGATGGTGGTGGTGATGATGATGATGGTGGTGGTGGTGATGATGGTGGTGATGATTGTGATAGTGGCAATGGTGATGATGGTGGTGGTGATGATGATGATGATGGTGGTGGTGATGGTGGTGATGATGGTGGTGGTGATGATGGTGGTGATGATGGTGGTGGTGATGATGATGGTGGTGGTAATATTGCTTACAGCAGTAGTAATTAACATTTTTTGAGCACGTGACATCTGCCAGGTAGTATTCTAAGCCTTCTGCAGGACTTGAACAGGTCTACTAAAAGCCACATTTTAGCTGAAGATGCTGAGACATGGAGAGGTTGAATAATTTCTCCAAGGTAACACAGACACTGAATGGCTGAGAGGAGTGTCTGCAGACTGTTAGATAAGAGCGCCTGGTTGCCCATTATGACACACTCACCAGTGGTCATGGTGGAGGTCTGGGTAACTGGGCAGGCTCTCACAGGGGAGAGAAGCCAGCTCTGCCAGGGGCTATCCGGGAAGACTTCTCAGAAGAGGTGACATTTAGCTGGATCTTGAGGATGGAATAAGAAATTGGCAGAACGAGGAAGGGGAAAACACTATAGCAGGTAGAAGGAAGACGGTGCAGAGATGCACAGGGGCATTAGGGAAGGAGCCTGTAGTTCAGAGGGTGGAGGGCCCAGGGCATGCGTGGGAACATGAAAGTCAATATGTTTCCACCCTAGGAGGACTGTGAGTGTCCTGCCCGGGTCTCAAAATGCAGTTTCCCATATCACCCACCCAGGGGTTGGGCAAACCCTCTCTGGGCCTGGGCTTCTGTGTCTGGTTGGTGGTGAGAGGCTTATGCAAGGGCCGTGGCAAGTGTCCAGGAAGTGCTGATGTCCTCATGCATCAGGGAGGTTGGAGGAGCTGCCGGGAGAGTAGTTAGTGGTGGGGCCAGTCACAGGCAAGGCCAGCTAGACCCCAGCAAGCGGTCTGGCTATGGATGGTGGCCATCTGGCTTCATAGAGGGCAGAGCCACACCAGCACTTGTGAAGAGGACAATGTCCAGACCATCCAGGGATAGTGCTGAGAGAGACAGGTGGGTGGGGAAGGGATGTGACCCTCTTGGATCCAGACCTCAGTCATGCACGTTGTATTAGGCAGGCACTGCTGCTTCAAGGGTCCACTGGCACTGCTTGTGTGGAGAAGCTCTTGTTGGGAGTGGAGAGGCTGGGGTTGAGCCCTGCTGACCTGCGGCCAGGCTGGAACACCTTCTGGGCCTTGACTACCTCATCTCGAACACAGGGTTGCCTGGTCCACATTCGGCCTCCTGTGGCACTGCTGGGAGGGTCTGGGATGTTGATCTGTGTGAGCAGCTGTTTCCTTCATGGGGGACATCACCCTGGCTTTCCCAGGGTGCAGACGCACCAGATCCCTCTCAATCTTGAGTGGCCCCCTCACCCCCATCTTCATGCCTCAATTTGCTCATCTGTTAAACGAGAGACTCGCCCCCCAAGGACCCCAGCTCTTCCTGTGTCTCTCGGAGGTACACAGAGCTGGGGCTGCCACCTCCTTTTTGCAGACAGGAGCACTGAGATCCCTCTGGGTGAAGTCCTTCACCCAAGATCCCATGAATGGCTCAGGAGAGCTTGGTCTGGAAGCTGGGGGGAGGGGGGCCTGAATCTACTCCAGGACTCTTGCTACCAGCCATGGAGAAGGAAGATGGGAAGGTGCCTTAGAAAATGATCCGTGGCTCCCCAGATAGAGGGAGTATTGACACGGTTATTTTTAGCATTATTAAAATCAGTCTGTTTTGCTCCTTTTTTTCTCTCCTTACCCTGGCTCAGCCTTCGCCTTCAGATTGAGTGTGTGTTCATGTGTCCGGGTCCGGGCGCTGGGGGAGCTGCTGCAATCAAAATGGTAATGAGACCCTGATTGTGTCTCTCAACGCCTTGCTTCTTCCAGGTCTCTGCCTGCCCCCAAATGTCACCTGGTCTTCATGGCGCCCTGGGGAGCAGCACCCGTGTTCTTCGAAAATGAGAGCTCAACTCAGTGCTCCATAGAAACAGCCTCTGGGAACCTTGGAGAACTTGGGGGCGTGGCCCTGCCTATGGGTGATCCTTGCTGAGGAGCCTCTCCCTACTGCTGGGGCAGAACCAAGACCACTGTCCATGGTGCTGGACGGTCTCACCATGGTCCCCCAGATTCAGGCGGTCAGAGCTCATGTGGGGATGGACAGAGACTGTGTCTGAGGAGGAAGGCCTGGGGCCCACGGGGTGGGGGGGAAGCCCAGTTAGGGGAAGGACAGTGCCCATAAGAGCGGCTGATCCTGCAGCTCTGTCACTGGAGCTCTGCCAGCTGGGGCAAGTGGTGGAGCCTCTCTGAGCTTCCACTTCTTTCTCTGGAAAAAGAGAAAGATAGACCTTTCCCTCAAGAGGTCTCGGCCTCTGAGAAGCGTGTGGACATCCCTGGCTCACAGTGGCTTGCCAACCGAGCTTGCAGCATTTTATTAAAACCAAATGCAGTTGCTGGTGGTGCATGTGGCTGCAGCCCCTGGACCCTACCCCTGCTGGGGCTGGGTTCCTGCTGTCTGGATGCCTAGGTCAGCTCCTTTCACCTCCGCCCTCTCAGCTGCCTTTCCCTGAAGTATCTGGATCTCCTTGCCACCCAGCAGCTCTAAGGGGCCTCCGGGGCCCTGTGCCAGCCCAGTCCCCTGCTGCTGTGCCTGGCTGTTGATACTGTGAGCATCTCACCTGAGACCTTTCCTGGAACTGACCCAAAGCCAGCCTGGCTGCCGGGAGCTCCTGAAACCCCTGTCCTCTGTGCCTGGGATCTGCCCTGCTCTGGAACCTGAGCCACCCAGGGCCCATGTGGAGTTTGCTCCATTTGGACAGGACAAGTCACTGGTGGGAGGAGAGGGGCTGGCATTCTGGCCCTGCTCCTCACACTGGAGACTGGCACTTCCCTTGCTCTGACTCCCGTCTGCTGGCTGGGCCTGTCATCAACATGCCTGCTGGTGTCTCTGTCCCATCAAGTCCAAAACCAAGCCTGCCCAAGTGCCGCCCCTGCTGACACCCTCCTGGCGCCTCACCAGCTCCGGGTCCATAGGTCCCTGCAGCTGCTCTTCTCCCGAATGCTCCAGCCCCACCACGGCGCCCTTCTCTAGACCTTCCCCTCCCTGGAACAGGTCCCCTGGGAGGCCCACCCCTCCCTCCTGGCCCAGGCACCTGCATTCTCTCTGAGCCCTGAGCCTGGAGGCCACCTGTCCCCCCTTGGCCACACGGGAAGGTGCAGGCTGTGCCTGTGTGTAGGGGGCAAGTGTGGTGAGCACCTGTTCACTAGCGGCCCCTTCACAGCTCACAGCTCCACATCTCCCACACCTCGGCTGAAAATCCTTCACAGTTTCCCTCCTGTCCCACTTTTCTGGGGCTCCTCAACATGTCTCCTGACTATCTTGAGCCTTGCAGAAACCTCACCTTGTACCCCAGCCCCAACCCGCACCCACGGCTGGTGTTCAACCTCCTTCTCCCCCACCCAGCCCTGAGGATCACACAACTCCCCCAACAACACTGTGAATTCCTCCTGGGTTGCCCATACTCAGCCCTGTGCCCCCACCCAGACATGGGGCTGGGGTCTCCCCTTTCATTCACTTAGCCAGGAAGCAAATCTTGCTGGCCGTGGCTGTGCCCGGGGCTGTGTTAGTGTGCTAGAGTGCAAGAGGAAGCGTTACCATGGGGAGCAAGAGCGGACACAGGCCCAGCCACTCTGGGACTTGGGGGAGAGACAGGTATCAAAACCACACAAACCCCTGTGGGTGGAGCAGAGGCTTTGCAGACACAGTGTGCTGGCTGCGTCCTGCGCCCTTTGCCTGGCTTCTGGCACGTGTCCTCCATGGGGCATTAATGACCACCTGACACTCTACCTCCACTGGCCATCCTTCAAGTGGGCAGGGGCAGTGTCTGCCTCGGTCGTTACTGGGTTCCCAGAACCATACTCTGACGACACGAAACAGGGGCTCACACAATGTCTGTCCGATAAATGAACGGGCAAGTGGCCTGACCTGCCCGTCCCAAGCACACCTGCCCTCTTGACCCTCCTCCAGGAGAGGATCCGGGACCTGCCCCAGGGGCAGGCATGGGTGAGTTTGCAGGCCTGGGCCTGAAGAAGGGGCAATTTCTAGGTGAGCACAGAGCCTTCCTCCCTGCAGCCAGGCTTCCACAGGGCCTGGCTCTTCCCAGTGTGCTGGGTCGCAGCCTTCCTCCCAGAGAAGCCAGCCGTGGCAGGGACACTGTGTCTGCATGCCTGTCTGCTCCTCCAGCAGATGCCTGCCGGGCTCCTCCTGCCCTGACGGCAGTGCCTTCCAGTGAGTGCTGGAGACAGACGGCAGAGAGGAGAACCAACCTGTGTATGGAGAGGCCGGACAGGTGCCCCGAGTGCGGTGGGCGCGGTCATTTGGATTGAGTAGTTGGGAAACACAGTGAGGTTCAGATCCTGACGCTGGGCCCCCAAGCTGTGTGTGGGAGCTACTCCCATCCTCTCCGGCCTCAGCACCCCCATCTGTGGTGTGGGGTTGGAATAAACTTGCCTCAAGTCAAGGTGCTGTGGGTTAAGGCAGGTGCAGTGCCTAAAGCCAGGCGCTGACTCCACCCACACCCTGCCTCCGGCCAAGAAACGAAGAAACCCGCTCCTGTGTTCTGGAGTGGGAGGGGCTTATGCACGGGGACTCCTGGGATCCCACCCAAGATGCTCTGGCAGAGGTGGGGGTCCTCCCGGGCTGCGGGGGTCCAGGTGAGACCGCTTTGGCTCTTCCGTCAGCTTGAAGGCGGCTCTGGACGCGGAGGGCCGGCTTAGTTTGTTTCTGGTTTGTGATGGGAACTGGGAGGGGAGAGTAAGGGCGGGAACTATTCCTAACACCAGGTCCTGCTTGGGGGGTTCTTGCACCGGACCCCGTTCTATCCTCCAGTCTCCTGGCAGGGATGACTTTCACCCCCACCCCACAACTGGGGAACGTGGGGCTCCGTGAGCTGCCCTGCTTGGCCGTGGGGACAGAGTGAGCTGCGGGTACACAGCAGGGCCTGGGGCCAGAGGCAGTGAGGGTGAGCCTGGCGTCACCATGGGGGTTCACGTCCTCCCTGAGTGCGGGCAGCATGCTGGCGCTTAGGTCAGAGGAGCTGAGAATTAAGAGAACGATCGCCATTTGTAGACATTTGTGTGGAAGAGTGGTGGAGAGGAGCCTGGGTGGTTCCCAGCAGCCCTCCTCATGGTGGGATTCTGTCCCGGGCTCCCCTTCCACACCTCAAGCCGGGTCCCCTCTGCAGGAGGAAGCTGGGGAATGATCCCTGAAACTCTCCCAGCCCGGACTCTCCACGTCATGCGGCAGCTCCTGACCCGCCCATCAGCCCCGCAGTTTCACTTTGAGTAGCTAAACAGACGCTGCTGCTCTTCCTTCCTTCTGGTTCTAGGACTTGAGAGCCGGGGAAGGCCCCTGACCCTGCTACCTTCTAGCTGTGTGACCCGGGGCAGGAAAATCTGCTTCCGACGCTCCATCAACTCCATGACTTACCCATGAGAGGGTTCCTGACCCTTTGTCTAGAGAGGCGGAGAGAAAATCTGTGCTAGAGGGTGGGACGGATGGGAGGGCACTCGGCCGAAGGCGCCTGCAGCTAACAAGGGCCACGGCTGTGACCCTGGGCTGGTGTTATTCAGGGGACCCAGCCCTGGGACACACAGGGGAACTTTGCAGTGAGAGTGGCTGATTCCAGGTCACACAAAGCCCCGGGATCTAGTCCTGGAAGGACGGAGAGCTGTGTGGTCTGGCTCGGGCCTGGCTGCAGAACCCTCATGGGCCAGGGGGAAGCTTTTTCCATGGTGCCTGAGGACGTGATCTAGAGTCTGTCACTTGGGAACACACCATAACAGGGCTGTACTCCTGCCTGGGGCTGGTGACAGGCCAGGCCACCCACGGTGCTCACTCCCTCTGTATCTCTTCAAAGGCCCTCCAAGGCCAGCTCCTCCCGCAGAGATGTTGGTCCACCACACTCCTGCCCGGGGCTGATGATGGGCTGGGCCACCCACGGTGCTCACTCCCTCTGTATCTTCCAAGGCTAGTTCCTCTAGCAGAGAAGTGGGTCCACGCTGAGGGCCCTGGGAACCCGTGGCTGTCCTGTACCTGGGACTGTGGCATCCGAGAGCAGACACAGCTTCACCAGGAATTCTGGGGTCTCCAGACCTGGAACTCCAGCTCCAGGGGTCCCGGTTTCATCCTTCCTGATGCTTGGTTTCCTCTCTTGGCCCTTGAAGAATGTGCCTTCTGCTAGAGGCCTCCCGGGGCTGACTCCCCTCTGTGCCCCGCTGGAATCCTCCCGCTCCCTGCCCTCCATCACACTGAGCCCAGATCTGTCTCCTTAAGCCCAGCAGAGCAGGGCTGTTCTTGGAGAGGATTTATGTGCCTCTTGCAGAGCAGGCAGGGATTTATCCTCCTGTCCCTCTGCTCCCTCTCCGTCGTTAGGGCGGAAGTGGGTCTCCCCGGCACATGGCATGGCTGTGAAACGTGGCTGTGCCCTGCGTGGTGCTCGTGCCTACAGCGGCCGCTCGCTCAGAGGCATGGGGGAAGGGCTCGGGGGTAGACGAATCTCCTCCCGGTGGTGACCCCATAGGAAGTGGGGGATAGCGCTGGCCCGAGGCATGAGCAGGTGCCTGGGGAACAATCACTGTGGATGACTGCTGTGTCCACCAGACTGTCCCTGAGGCAATAAGGCCTCCACCCACTGTCACCTGATCTCTGGGTGCAGGTGCGTTGGCAAGCCCGTTCCCGGAGGTCCTGAGGGGGCTGTGCTCCATCCCCACGCCCTCCTCTGACCCTGGCCTCTCTTCCCCAATGTCTCATCCTCAAACACCTGGGAGGGTCTTATGCCTGGGACAGGGTTGGTCTGAGTCATGGAGTTGCTTTGCCGTCAGTCCCCCGAGGCCCCCCGCCTCTAAGCAAGAACCCCACTGTGTGTCACCCCTGCATCCTCTTAGGAAGCCGGCTTCATGCCCAACAGATGCAGACTGGGTTTTGCTCCCGCCCCCCACCCTTCCTCAAGGTGTTTGCTCAGAGGCCTTGGAGCCTGTGACCGTGGCTCAGAGCGCATTCTCCTCCCCGCGGCTGTGTCCACACACTCAGCAGCCCCCAGCGCAGCCCCCCAGCCTCAGGCCAGAACCAGCCATCAGCACGGCCCATTGCGGGGTGAAAGATGCTCTGTCGATGGGTGTTAATGGGCTCCTGCCCTCTCCTCATCTGCTCAGCAAGTGTCCACCGAGCGTCTACTGTGTGCAGGGCCCACGGCCAGGCCTGCTTTGGGTGAAGCCCGTGTACTGTTCTGCAGACAGGAGCCCTTTCCAGGGGAGAATGAATCCCTCATCCCCAACCCTGCCTGTCCTGAGCACTCAGACCAGGCCATGGTGCACAGTCGGGGGTCCTGGGAATGGCGCTTTCATTGGCTAGGATGGTGAAGAAGCCTTCTTAGCGCTCCAAGACGTTGTCATGGAGACCCCTCTCTCACTGCCACACTCCTTCATCTGGTCTCCAGGGAACAGGGTCCCCTGAAGAAGGCCAGCAGCTCTGCAGGGGCTCAGGATCTCTGTATCGCTGGGGGGACCTCCCCTCACCTTTTAGGGACTCTGAACCATGAGAAGAGCCACCAAGCCTAGGTGTGCGGACTTGGAGAGGCTCGGCTCCCCAGGGTGCTGTGTCCAGCAGGGATGTGGTAGATTCCCTGTGGCAGGGTCCCCTGTAGGACCGAGGGACAGAGCACCCTGGGGAGCCGAGCCTCTCAGCTCCCTTGGGGTCAAACCACTTCACAAAGGGGACCTAAAGGTTAGGAAGTTCTGGGAGTTGGGAGCAGCTGGCTGGGCCCCCCAGAGCCACAGATGGTGGCCCAGAAAAGCAGCCTGGCCACAGCCTGAGGCGACAGCATCTTGTGGCCAAATACTTAGCCCTGAAGCAGCTTCTGAGGGTGGCTGGGCTGGCTGAGAATGAATGGTCTGGGGCTCGAGGCCTGACTGCTCACAGCCTTGTACTGAAAAGGAGAAAAACACCAGTCCTCTGACTTTCTGCTGTACCCAGGGGCTGGCCCGGGATCCTCAGCGTCTCTGCATGGTGCGTCACTGTGACCCTGTGGCTTGGACACCTCACTTGTTTGCAAGGCTCCCTCTGGGCCTCAGTCTCCCCACTGGCAGAGGAAGGGGCAGGCAGCGTGGATTGACTCCCTCAAGCCCTTCTGACATTCCAGGAGCTCCTGTTGTGCCAAGGGCCAGCCTGGACACTTCTGGCTCCCTCCAAATGTCAGTGAGGGAGGAAGTGAGAGCTCTCTGGAACGCAGTGTCTTACCGTGACTTATTGGATCACAAACAGTTTAATAAGGAGAGGGATGGGGGAGGGCACGCTGCTGTCCGCCTGCTCACCTCATAAATTAGGCATCAGATGTTCACAAAGGTGTCTTTGAGTAAACAGAATCGTCTTGTTGGAGGAAGGGCTGTGTCTGCGGGCCAGGCAGTGAGTCTCCGGGGATGGCGCAGTCAAGATGGTGAAGACAAGCCTGCTGCATTTGTCCAGCGTGCCCTTCACCAAGCCCAGGGACGGCCACGGGTGGTCTCTCAACGACCTCAGGGCAGCTGGGGGCTGCTTGGCAGGGAGAGGACGTGGCCTGCGAGGGGCCCAGTCACCCCCACCCCCATCTCTGAGGCCAGGCTCAACCCAGTGCCTGAACTCCAGACCCCGAGAGCAGGGTCAGGGCTGGCTGCAGGCACCTCAGTTGCCCAGTCAGGGAGCAGAGGCCGTGGAGACAGACCTGCAAGAAGCTGTGTGGCCTTGGGCACGCTCCTTCATCCACTCAGCTGTGTCTGAGTTTCTTCTGCTCCCATCCCCCACTCCTCCCGTCTCAGCCCCCCTTCAGGTCCAGTGCAGGGTGGCACAGTGTCACCATCTTCTGCGGCAGGGCTGCTCCTGCCTCACCTAAGAGCTCAGGGCTTTTCTCCCTTCAGGGTCTGTTCCAGGGGCAGGTGGATTCAGCCCCAGAGGAATGGTGGGGACTCGAGCATCTTCTTCTTCTTACAGAGTCTTGTTTTTTTTTTTCTTTGCACTGGACACTGGACAGGAAGTGGCTGTGGTGCTCCAGGCCCTGAGGCACCACCTTCCTCCCTCCTCTTCCTCTTTGACAGAAACAGTGCCTTCCACGGACAGCCAGGCCACATGCACCCAGAGCTCCTTGTCCTCTGCCCCAAATTCATGCTGGGCTCCCGCCAAGGGCCCTATGCCCCAAGCAGCCCCAAGCAGCCCCGAGCAAGGTCTTGGTAGCCGGGGCAGCCATGGAGTGGGGTGATTCCAGTGGGAGCCTCCCACATGTGTGCTCCACCCACCACTCTGCCCAGGGTGTGAGGCTCGCCCTAGAGACCAGAGAGAAGCAGGCCAGGGGCCGTGCTGGGAGTGGTCCCGGCGAAAGGGAGGACAAAGGGGAAGAGGGGTGTGCTGGAGGCCCAGAGGGTGGGGGTTCTGGGTGTGCAGTGAGAGGGAACAGAGGCTGGGGACTTAGGACCCCCCATGGCGGTGGGATGGAGTGGGCCCTGTTCCTGTCCTGGGAGTGGGCAGGGGCATCTGTGCTCTCATCTGTGTAGTGGGGCACCCAGACTCCAGTCCAAAGGGTCTTCCCTGCTCTGCCACGTGAGACTGGGAATACTTGGCCCTAGTCGTGGCTCCAGGGTCGTGACTCTGCTAGAAATCTTGATGGATCTTGGTTTTGGTAAAAGTGAGACTCCCGTCCTCAACCCAGTCCGAGCCCAGACGGCGTCCTGGGTAACAGCCTCCGCCCACTGCGCGAGGAGGCAGAGGGCAGAGTTGCTTACATTGACTTCTAAAAGCCCCATTTGTTCTCTGCGAGAGATGCACTCCCTAACTCATGCTGGAACGCAGAGGGATGATTTTTAATAAACCGGCCCTTCCGGGGCCTGAATCACCGTAACTGCGGGCGCTGGGGCAGATTTACGCGCAGCCCGCCCTCCCACTGCCGCCCCCGGCGCCGGCAGGCAGCCTCTTGTTTAGGAGACAATTTGTTGCTTTGGGTTGTTTCTTGGGCTTTTCTGAAGCAGAGGCCTGAGCTCGAGCTTTCTGTCTGCAGAGAGCAGCAGGGCACAGCAATGTGGAAAGAGGGCTCACGGCCCCTGCAGCCCATTGAAGACCAGGCCAGCTTTCCCTGTCCTCAGCTGGGCTCTCTGTGGCCGGGCCCTACTGCTGCCCAGTCACTGGCCCTGGACTGATGGGGGAATGTGCTCAGGCCCCTGTGGTCTCCCTTCCCGGGCTAGGAACCAATGCTAGTTCCAAGCACAAGAAAGTGCACACTGGGGTGAGGCCTGGGCACCTCATGTTCACTGAAGTATTGGAGGCAACTAGGCCTCTGCCTCAGTTTTCTAATCTGTAACATGGGGTCTTCATTTTCCCAGCCCAATCCGCAGGGCTGTTGTGGGGACCCGATGGGGCCGTGGGGTCATACGCTCTGCATACCCAGTTCATAGGTGAGACTGAGGCCCGGGATGACTTAAGGACAGAAGTGGACTGGGATCCAGGTATGGAATCCTCCCTGTCACCCCGCTTCTTTGCACCCACTGATCATCAATGGTACCTCTGGTCATCTCGGGGTCCCATGGTGTGAGCCCCACCCCGCCAGCAGCCATTCTCAGGGTCCCATGCTATGAGCCCCACCCCACCAGCAGCCATTCTCAGTACCCCATGGTGTAAGCCCCACCCCACCAGCAGCCATTCTCAGCACCCCATGGTGTAAGCCCCACCCAGCCGGCAGCCACTCTCAGGGCCCCATGGTGTAAACCCCACCCAGCCGGCAGCCACTCTCAGGGCCCCATGGTGTAAGCCCCACCCTGCCGGCAGCCACTCTCAGGACCCCATGGTGTAAGCCCCCACCCTGCTGGCAGCCACTCTCAGGGTCCCATGCTATGAGCCCCACCCCGCCGGCAGCCACTGCCTGAGGAATCTGACATGAACATTTTCCTCCCCAGATCAGGCTTGAAGCTGACCCCCTTGGGCATCTCCAGTGCCCCCACGACCAGGCTGCTTCCTCTGAGCCTTTAGGACATAGCTGTTCCTTCTAGATGCGCCCTGGCCAGGCTAGCAGCCGCCTGTTTGCTCTAGATGGCCCTGCTGCCTTAGAGCGTCCTGTGGGTTTCACTCCTCCCGCCCCTTCCCCCAGGCAGCAACAGCTCCATCTGTGGAGAGCACCAGGTTCCTGCCACCCACCCCTTCCTGTGCTCTCCTGCTAGCCTGGGACCAACCCCTGCCCCTTGCCGGACTCCAAGCCACCTTGCTCACTCCATCCGGCAGCCCAGGCCTGGGGCTTCTGCTCCCTTGGGAGTCTCTGTCTCCTCCTAGGGACCTTCCCCTTTCTGGACCCTCCAGGGATGAGGTGTCACCTCCTCCAGGGTTGCTGGAATCAGCTCTTTCTGCAGGGCTCTGCCTGCCGGGACCCTACACCTCTACTGGCTCCTGACTCGGCTGTTTCCCACCTTCCTTGGAGATGTCACTCACAGGAGCCCTGGGTGCCCCTCACCTGGCAGGTCCTGGCCTGGACTCACTCTGCTAGGCCCGGCCACCGTATCCCTGGTGCTGGGTGTAGCCAGGCCTGCCTTTGCTTGTGTAGCCATTTCAGGGGGTTGAAAGAACTCTGGATACTGGCGCCTTGCAAGCTCCCTGCACGCCTGGCCGAGGAAGGACAGCACTGGCCACGGTAACAGCCAGTGCTTCATGAGCTCGGCAGAGCCTGGTGTACAGTCAGCGAGTCCCGCCCACCTGCCTCCCTCTGCGGCTGCTCTGTGGCTTGGCCTCTGTGTGCCTGGTTTCCTCACAGGAAAACCAGGGTTGAAGCAGGAGGTGGGCTCAGAGACCCCATGCAGAGGCCAGAGTGAGAGGTGGTGATCCCTGACCTTGGCAGAGCCCAGAAAGCCCTGGCTACCACCACTGTTGCCACGTTCAACACATCATGAGGCGCCGCCTCACTGTTCCAAAGGCTGCACCTTAAGAGGAGCTGGTGTGCCCAAAGCCATGCGCCATGTTGGGTCAAGGAAGCCCCTGTTGCCAGACGCTGACCCCAAGTGCATTGTCCCCTGGCTGCACCTAACTCTGCATTCCTGGGCATGGTGACTCCACACAGGGCAGGATGCAGGGGGACAGGCAGGGAAGCTGGGTGGCGGAGGGGCCCTGAGCATCAGACAGCAGGGAACAGCCCCTCGCTCAGGGATGGCTATGTCTCTCCCGCCACATGCCCTGGTCCTTCTCTTCTACCTCCCCCCTGCAAACCACCATCTTGGAACTCCCATACCTCCCCAGCTCCGTCCACACCCCAATCCTCTTGTCTTCCTAGGGATGGGCCAATCTCAGGGCCCCCTCCTGCCAGCCACAGTGGTGGATGAGGAGCTCTGGCCTTGGGCTCCGCACACCTGGGCTCCAGCTGCTCCACTCCCTGCCTGTGGTGACGGTCCTCCACTCGGCAAAATGAAGGGCTCACAATGGGGTGAGCAGGCTTCTGGAGCAGGTGGCTGGCAAGCTGTCCTGGGCAGCCGAGAGGCTCATCCGGGGGAAGGAGGCCAGGGACTCACAGCTGAGGACCCCGGTTCCTGCAGCTCAGGCTCCTGCCAGGGACACCCGTGTGTCCTTGATGCTTAGACTCCAGGTCGTCTTTGGTCCTTGTTCCTGTGTCTTTCCTGCCTGCTGGTCGAACGCAGAGGGGCCCCCCAAGGCTGGGCTATGTCCATCGATCAAATTCAAAGAGGCCTGTGCGTGGCAGTTGGCTGCTCATTATTCGCTGCAGCTCTACAAGCAGCTCCGCGGGTGGGCAGCTGTCCCTGCCAAGAACGTGATGCACTGAGACGTTCGTGGCGCGCAGGAGGTCACACAGCCCATTCCAAAGGCCCGTGGGGTGCACACAGGCTGTACCCCAAGTTTACCGTGGGGAAGCTGGAGACCAGGGAGGTGATGTGGTTTGCCCAAAGCCACACAGGGATGAACTGGCAGGGCTGGGAGTGCGTGGCTCTGCTTCGAGCCTGCTGCAGGGCTGCCTGCCTCTGAGGGTGCCCGGCTTCCCTCCCTCCCAGCCGCCCGCTGGGCTCCTTCGGCTCCGTCAGGGCGCACTACCGGCTATGGCTCCCAGGGGGCGCTGAGGCCCCGCGGCTGGCTTTCCGCCTGCCCAAACCCTGAAAAATGCGGCGTGTGCTCTGCAAACTCACTGGTGTTGTGTGTTTTTCCAATCAATAGAAGATGCTCAGTCCTCGAGATGTGGCTACCAGAGTCTTCACACATCTGCATCGGAAGGATTCCAAGCGAAGTCTTTTCCTGTTGGGATAAAAAAAATGTAAAATGTAAAAGGAGAAAAGGAGAATTTGCCTAACAGACTAGAAAATTTCCACTTCCCAGCATCCGAACAGAGTATTTGTGCTTCTTGTGCCCAATTACCCAGGCTGCAAAAGGAGAGCTGGGTGGTTTCCAAGCTCGGCCGTGGCGCTCGGTGAATCGATCCCCGGGAGAAATCTGCATGTATTTCTGGGTGAGGCCGCGGGTACCCGGCCACCGGCCTGGGCGATGGGGTCTGCTTCAGCCCTGCTTTCCGCTTCTGTTTGACCTTGGAGAAGATCCTTGGCCCCTCTGAACTCAGCCCTCTTGGCTATAAAGAGGTTTTGTTAAGTTCACATCTCCAGGATGCTGAAACGCCCAAAGCATTTAATCTAAAACATAAACCGATTCATAGCTTTATACTAATGTGGAATTTTCAAAGTGCCTTTGAAGTCTGCATCTGCCTAGTTTCCTAATTGGCCCTGGGGAGTGGGGGGTGAGCTGCGCCCTGGAGCTCACGGGGTGAAGGGCGATGCACAGGCCCGGCTGTTAGCAGCAGAAAGGGGCCGGTGGGGCTGCTCCTGCTCGGTGCCAGTGGCCTGGTCCTCAGCCTGGGAACACGGGCGGGAGGGGCTGGACTTGGCCTCAGGCCTCCAGTCCAGTGGAGGACACTGGTGGTGAACAAGGCTGTCCCGCAAGCCCAAATCGGTGTCCTGCTGCTGGGATATGGCAGCAGCCCACTGCCGAGCTGCTGCCGGAAGCGAAGGCGATCAGCGGTGACTGCCACTCGAGAGCCAGGCTCCAGGGCCTGGGCTGCAGAGCAGGCTTCTTCCAGCCTGGGAGTCTGAGAGGCGCTGGCTTGGGGAGGTCTTCTCCCCCTTCTCCTGGGCACAGGAGCACTCACGGCGCTCTTGCTCCTGGCCCGGGTCCTCTCCGCCTCAGAGTTCACTCAGGCCAGAAACTAGGACAGCCCTTCCTGGCACCTTCTCCTGGCTTCCCGTTCCTTCCAGCCACCACCAAGTCCTGCCAATTTTATTCTGAATGTCTCTCGATGGTGCTCACTTCTCTGCCTCCCAGCTGCTGCTACCCGGGGCCTGGCCACCATGGTCCCTCCCCAGGGACAATAGCAATCCCCTCACTGCCTGGGCTCCCTGCCCCCACTCTCTGTCCCTCCAGTCCCTTTGCTAGTGACGGCCAGGCTCATGTTTTGAAAACACAAACTGAGCAGGGCACTCCACATGTCATCGCCCATGGCCTGGCCGGCCGCAGCCCCAGCCCCTCTCCCTGCCTGCAAGGTGCCTGCCCTTGCTCACTCAGCCCAGCCTCGCTGAGTGCCGAGGGGGCTTGCTCTACTTCTCTGCTTCCTTGTTGCCCTGCCCCTCTGAGGTATGCCAGCTCCTGGCAGGTACGAGGTGCTCATTAATACTCACTGCCTGCCTGAATGAGCTGGCATTTGGGCGGGGTCTTCAGTCCAGAATTGTGAAATGGAGGAGGCAGCATGGAGAGGGAGGAAGTGGCTCAGGTGAAGCTGGAAAGCAGGGTCCACCAGCAGGGTGAGTGGGCTCGGGAGGACGGGGGACGGGAAGAGGGAACTGGGTTCCTGGAGAGTCTGCGTCATGTCAGGGAGAATTGGTCAGGGGCTGCAGCAGTGGGACCAGGGGTGGCTGGCCTGCAGGGCTCAACCAAGAGGGCTCTCTACCCACCCAGCATGCGGTAACAGTACTGGATCTGGAGCTGCCTCCAGGGACTCATCCCTGCTCTGCCCTCCCAAGCCATGTGACTTGAGGGGAAGTCATTGGGCCCTGCCTCCTCGTTGGCAACCAGGTCTAATAACCCCTGGCAGGAGCAGATGTGAGAGTCTGGCGTGGAGTGTGAGCTCAGGAACGGTGAGCTCTCCCAATCTGTGCTTCTGAGGGCTCCCTTGGGAGCCCCAGAGTGGAGGCAGGGAGGCCAGGGGTGAGGCTGGTTCCCTTGCCCATGAGAGGGCTCAGCCAGGCAAGGGGAGAGGCTACTGAGGGAAGGGAATGGATCCAGAGGTGCTCTGACTTCCTGGAGAAGGAGAGAGTGTGGGCAGTTCCCCAGCACCCGTCTCACTTCCAAGGATGGAGCTACATGGCCTCAGCCTCTCCTGCACCCACTGTCCTGGGGCTGCACCCATTCCCAGAAGCTTTGCAGGAAGGCAAGGAGGGACCGATGCAGGGCAGAGCCCCCACCCATCCTATCTCATATCCCCAGCTCTGGCGGGTGTCACGAGGCCTCTCAGCTGCAGTATCCCCACTCCTCCCCCACCCCGGGCCCATCCACCCTGCCTGTACCTTCCCTCCTCCCCCACCCCGCGCCCATCCACCCTGCCTGTACCTTCCCTCCGCCCCCACCCCGGGTCCATCCACCCTGCCTGTACCTTCCCTCCACCCCCACCCCGGGCCCATCCACCCTGCCTGTACCTTCCTAGTGCAGCAGGGCCCTCGTGTTTTCAGGTAGTCAGTTTCTGCTCTTTTGGGACATATGCTCTGTTTTGCAAGTGATTCTGCCAAGACTGGATTTCTTTTCTTTTCTTTTTTTCTTTCTTTTCTTTTCTTTTTTTTTTTTTTTGAGACAGTGTCTTGCTCTGTCACCCAGGCTGGAGTGCAATGGCACAATCATCTCGGCTCACTGCAACCTCCGCCTCCCAGGTTCAAGCGATTCTCCTGTCTCAGCCTCCCTAGTCAATGGGATTATAGGCGTGTGCCATCACGCCCAGCTAATTTTTTGAATTTTAGTAGAGACAGGGTTTCACCATGTTGCCCAGGCTTGTCTCAAACTCCTGAGCTCAAGCAATCCACCGACCTCAGCCTCCCAAAGTGCTAGGACTACAGGCGTGAGCCACCGTGCCAGGCCCAAGCCTGGATTTCAATGGTGATGGACTGGTCCTCGGGGATCCTTTAGCACCCCAGATGGCCTTTGGAACTGCATGCTCAGCCCTGCTTGACATCCCTGCTAACGCTGTCCTCTCTAGAGAAATGGGTAGATTCCCGCACCCCAACCCAAACACACACTGTGTCTTCCCAGCCTGGGAAGATCCAAGTGAATTTCTGGAGCCTTTCGAGGAGACCAGAGAGGTTAATCTAATTTGGGGCATCTTCACAGCCCAGCAAACAACCAAGTCTCAGGAAACCTCAGCTTCTCCACCTGGAAGAGGGGCATGATCACCCTAAGGGCTGTGGGCTCTCCAGGCACACACCCCAGTGCCCTGCATCGGGACCTTGCTCTCCAGTGCCCCTGCCCATGGAGTGCCCTCACCAGCTCCTGCCTTGCCCGCCCTGTCCATTTCCATCCCTCTCCTGGTTCCCACATCTTTATCCCCCTGGAAGCAAAGGCAGACATCATTCTCCTTTGCCTGCCCAGACCCACCAGCAGCAACCCTGGAGGATGGGGGACTCCTAGGTGTGACCTTGAGGCAGCCCCCGTCCTCTCCGAGCCTCTGCAACGTCACAGGGTGGGGCCTGAAGGCTGCCACACTGCAGATCTCCAGTTTCCCTCCCCTGCCTCTCCTTTTCCTCATCCTCTGTTCTTCTTCCTCCCCCTCCTCCTCCTCCTTCCTCTCTTCCTCCAGCTCTGTGCTCTGTTTCCTTGGGGAATGACTCACACACTCGCCTCCCACCTGCACTGCCAGCTTCCCAAACCTTCATTCCAAAGGGTCGTGGTGTGAGCAGATTTCAGCCTTCAGAGGCATCCAGGCTGGGGCGGGCAGCGCGGGGTGCCCTGTGGGGTCGTGGTCTCTCCTGCTGCCTGCAGCCTGCAGCCAGGGAGCCCGGCTGGGCTCGGAGGTTCCCTGCTGTCCCAGGGCCCGGGGAGAGAATCCAACTCTGCTTTCTGATCTGAACTCACTGTGTGACCTTGAGCTGGTTCCTTTTCCTTTCCAGCCTCCCTTTCCCTGTGCAAACACACCAGGCTGGAGCTGGGAGACCCCTGGCTCTTTTTCCGGTGTCCCCTCAGCCCGCATCTCTTTTAAGCATTATATATTGACGAATTCTACTATTGTATGTTGATGGGGTACAAAGTGATGTCATGATTTTTTTAATACACTGTGGAGTGATTAAGTCAAGTGAACTGTGTGCTAAGTGAAGTAAGCCTGACTCAGGATACATCCCTTTCACCCTGGGGGTGGGCAGGGTGTGTGTGGAGGAATCAGAAGAGGGTGTGCAGGGGAGGCTGGGCCCAGTGGAGTCTGGCATTCTTCCCTGGAGCCCCTGGCCATGTGTGGACAGCGTTCCTCTGGCTTCCACTTGCTGTGTTTCCCTCCCCCACTCTCAGCCCTGTGATTCTGGAGGAATTAAACTTGCCCTGGAACATGTGACCCAGGCTGCAGTCAATCACAGAGTCACATTCCCATGGCTATGGGTATTGGTCGAGAGATGGGCATGTGACTCAGTGAGAGCCAATGAGAGGCAAGGAGCTTTGAATGGGCCTAGGGAGGAGGATGCTGGCTCTGTGCTCCCTGGGATTTAGGCCCGGAGCCTCTGCTCTGCACAGCATCCAGGCTAGGCCAGGGCAAGGGACTCCTCTTCCAGCCAGGACTCCAAGGCAAATAGAATCTCACTTTTGCTTCTATTAGCTCAGCACCTACTATTACACAGCTGCAATTTCTCTGCATATATTTTCTCATTTAATTCTCACAGCAATTCTGCAGGGTGGGTATTATTGCCTGATTTGCAAGACCAGAAAAGGGAGGCTCAGGTCTGCCCACCCACACCCCATGGCCCCTGGCTGGCCCTGGTTGCACTGTCCACCCCCAGAAGTGGGGCTCAGACCCACATGCTGTGTGGGGGGTCCTGATGTCAGCCACGGGCTCCCAGCCTGGTCCTGCTCCTGGGCCTCCACCCCTGCTGGGACAGACAACCCCACATGGAAACCCACATCTTCACTGCATTGCTGTGGAAGGTGCTTTGGGTCCCATGCATGTGCCTGGACTGGGTGAGATTCTGTGGCAACTCGTCGATGCCCGTCGGTGGGAGAGGAGACATTCAGCTCCGTGATGGGGCTCACCAGAGGGCTCATGGCAACCCAGAGCTTGCCAGGGGGCAAGAAGGCAAATCTAGGTTCCTGAGCTTGGGCTTGGTGCAGAGGGGATGGGTGTCCCCCACGTAGCATAAAGCTGCCCAGCCAGGTGCCTCGTGCACATGGTGGCATCCAACTTCAGTCCAGACTCTCCATTGCGTAGGTGAGAAAAGCGGGACTTGGAGAGCAGTCCTTACTTCCTTCAGGTCAAATCACTCCTCAGAAGCGCCTTCCATGGCCTTCAGGGCCTAGGGGCTTGTCTGGTGGCCCTTCCTCTTGGTGACATGTCCACCTCAGCCTTGCCCCTGTCTGTGTGTGGATGCACTCCCTCTCTGCTGCCCCTGGCTGACTCTGCTGTCTCAGCTGTCTGTGGACGTGCCCTGTCCTCGGGGGAGCCTGGCCCGCCCCCTGCAGCCTGGACTCTCCCGTTGTCCTTCTGGGTTCCCTGCCCCGTCTGCCATGCGGCTGCTGAAATGTGCCTTATGTGTTTACGCGCTCCTTTATAGGATCAGCGCTTCTCCCACAGACTGGAGGTTCCAGATGGGTGGAGATTGTGTCTGTTTTGTTCACCTCCAACTTCCCAGCAGCCCACAGCAGGTGTAGGTCCTCAGTGAGTCTTTATTGAACAAGGAATAAGAGCATGAATGGGAGGGGGAGATTGAGGTTCTCAGACTTGGTCTGTGTGACCCTGAACCTGATGCATTCCTGGTACCGCTGTCCCCACGCTTCATCGTGGCTGCCGCACTTGGGAGCTGCCAGGGGACACTGCTTCTGGGCATCCAGGGCTGTGAAGCTTCCTGAGGCTGAGTCTCGGGGCTGTGCATTCCCTTCTCCTTCAGCAAGGGTTCCGCTGCATGTCCAGCACCCACCCTCAGAAACACTGTGTACCCTGGGCAAGAGGGAGACTGCAAGCCATGGCTGTGAGTGGAAATCCGTCAGCTGGGGGGAAGCCCTGGGGAGTGCCCGGCACTGACTTTTCCTCCTCCGTCCCCTTTGAGCTCACAGACGGTGAACACAAGGCAAGATGGGAGGGCTCGCACAGAGGTCGGCTGCTACGCCAGTTGCAGAAGGGCCAAGGGAGTGGCGAGGTGGACGGGGCAGGCTGGGTGGCTGGGCTGCTGGAGTGGAAGGACTGGCGCTGGGCAGAACCACAAGGACACTGGTGTGTTGGACAGGGGGAACAGACCTCCCAGGGCTGAGAACAGCACAGGCACAGGCTCTTTGGGAGGTCGGAAAGCAGGGTGGTGGTTGGAGCAGATAGTGGGGTCGGAGCCAACCAGCATGCTTGGGTGGAAGTTTGGGGAGGGGCTCCAGATGGGAGACGGGGCAGTGAAACTGATTTGGGGACAGAGTGGAGGGCCTTGGCTTCCACCCAGAGAACGCTGCTTTCGTTTCCAGGCCATCCTCACTTTTGACTGTGTAAAAAGCCTTGAGGCCTGAGTGCAGGGCCCGCATCAGCCCAGCCATGCTGGCTCCACGTCTGCACTGGCCACACAGAGACGATCTTCCTATTTCACCTGGACAACGTGAAGGTGGCAAGATGAACCAAGATGACAGGTATAAAAGCACTGCATGAGGTGGGGCCTTCCAGAGACGTGTGCATTTCAGCTGAGCTAGGGGATCTCTGTTTTAATGGAACGGCAAGGAAGATGAGAGCCAAAAGACACGGATGCCAGGCCTCACTCTGCATCAAGCTGCTGTCTGTTCTTCATAATGCATGGCACCGCCCGGGGCTCAGGTTCCTCATCTGCCAACTCTGAAGGCTGGGCCGATGCCTTCCAAGCCCTCTGGGACCCTTCCCAGCCTTGCCAGGGATGCAGAGCTGAAGTGCATCCCATCCCCTGGGGACCCAGAGCTCCCACGCCACCAGTGCAGCACCAGAAAGGCTGATGATGAGGCGGGGCGGCCCTCCACCCCAGGGGGATGATGTTCCTTGTCCAAGTCTAACTTCATTAAAAAGCCTGTCTCTGATCCTCTTAAGGCATTTGTGAAGGGGATGGGATGTGAGGCGAGGCAGGAGGAGGGGCGCCTGTGCTGCCCTCCTTGGGGACGGACCAGGTGATTTACATATTTATGAAATCTCTTACATTTCACCTGGGCCACATGTGCACTAGGAGACATTGCTTCTCATTTTAAGCTGAGGATCTGTGTTCCGGGAGTGACAGCTCAAGCTGCCACGGGGCCTCATGGGTATCTGGAGGTGATACACAGTCCTGGACTCGGTTCCTACCCAGATCTGCAGCGTCTGGCTGTGCGACCGTGGGTGGGTCACTTGACCTCTCTGGGCCTCAGTTTCCCCATGTGTAGAATGAGGACAGACAGTATCTATAGTAGGCACTCCTGGCATGGCCCTGGTGATTGCCACTCCTGGCGTTCATGTCCTTGTGTGACCCCCTCCTGCAGAGGGAGTGGACCCAGTGACTGACCTCTCACCAATAGAAAACAGCAAGAATGAAGGGATGTTCCCCGGGTTAGGTTCCAAATCCCCAGGACTCTGCCTTGCTCACCCACCTTGTCCTCTGGATTACTTGCTATGATGAAGTGGCCACCAGGCAGTCAGCTGCTCCATGGAGGGGCAGCCTCTGGCCAGCAGCCAGAGAGGGGTGAAGCCTCAGTCTGAGAGTCCACGGGGAGCTGAATCCTGTCAGCAGCCGTGTGGGTGAGCCTGGACAGAGCCTCCCCAGTGGAGCCTTGAGGCGACCACAGCCTCGACCCACACCTTGGCTATAGCCCATGACACTTACAGCAGCTGCCAGGCACTCAGAAGAGCTGCCGCCCCTCCTCCGGGCTGGTCAGTGAGCCGTCTGTGGGTGCATCTGAGCTGCCTTCTTATCTCCAGGCCCAGCACACAGAGGAGCTTGCTCAGTCCAAGTGTGTTACTGGAATCTGTGTGTGGTGGGTGATTCATGGCACATATTAGCAGGGATGCCTTGGGGCACGGTAGGGGCTCATCACCCCACAGCCTTGACAGATGGGCTTCCTGACCCAGCCCTGCTCCCACCTCCAGCGACGAGGCCCGGGACCCCTCCCCTTGGTGACAGACAGCCCCTCTGTTGTGTGTCAGCTCCTCTCCTCATATCTGTTCATTCTTCCCAGAGCCCTCCTGTTCTCACTCGTAGAAAAGGGGGTTGGGAGGCTGCGCCCCTCATCCAGCTCTGGACTGTGTACTTGGGCTTTGGGGGACACACCTGGTGTCGCTTTGTGTATCCTGGCATCCGATGCAGAGCCTGGGGCATAGCAGCCGCTGGGAAATACCCAGGGTAAGAATCCATGAGCAGCCGGTCTAGCATTTTACTCAAAGCACAGATGAATTGATCAGAAGGTGGGTTAAAAAGCTCACCAGAAACATTTCCTTATTTCCTGTCGGTGCCTGAAATGATTTCTCCTAGAGCCTCTTTGGGGTTTAACACACCAAAACCCCTTGTGCAATGGGCAGTATGCTCGCTGAGTCCTCCCACTCCTGGCCACCCCGCCATGGTAAAAGCTGAATCTTTGTTAGGGTGACCTGGCAGAAAGGAAGGCTCTGAGACATCCAGCAACTGGCCTGGCGAGACTGGCAGAAACTGGGGAATGTCCCAGGACTTCCCGCTCACCTGGTGGGAATAGGCCAGACGCCATGCTCCTCCTGACCGCCTCCGAAGAAATGAGACACGGTTCTGGGGGGACGGCTCAGACAAACCTGCCAGGGCCCCTCTAGGCCTTGGGGGCGGAGGCTGGGTTCCTGTGGCTGAGTGGGATGTCCACAGCAGGCGGTCAAGGGGCAATTCCCACAAGGATGAGAGCCTTCCACGGCTGTGCCATCCGACACAGCAGTTGCCGGCCTCGCGTGCACCTGTGCACTTTCAGCGAGGAGGAACGGAATGGGAGTGTTTTCCCTGCTATTTACACTTACGTTTAAATGGCCACCCACGGCTAGTGTCCACCCTGCTGGACGGTGCAGGTCCAGGACAGAGAGAACGAGCAAACTGGGGGCCGCTCTGGTTTCGTGTCTGAAGTCAGATCTTTCCAAGAATGCTAAAAATAACCTTTAAAAAATAATGCCGAGAGAAGATGAGTCTTACTGGGCCACAAGGAGCAGGGAGGGGCTGCAGAGCCTCTAATCCATCAGAGAGGTTCCGCCATCTGTCCAGGAGACTCTGCTAGAGGGAAGAAGATTCCTGACTCATCCCTATTTTTAACAGTGTTTATCTTCAGATCCATGCGGTGCCGTGGGATAGAGCGGGGATGAACACACCCCTGCCCCGTTGGTCCTGTTTGTGGTGATCCAGACCCAGATGCCACACTAGACCTGGAGTGGCTCCTGAGCCCTCGACAAGTTCTGTAGGCAGACTGGACCAGGCCAGGGCCCCGAAACACTCATCCTTCTTCACATTCTGCTTCCCACCGTTACCTTCAGTGACTCCATCACCACGGCCAGCTCCGGTGTCACTGTGGCCCAGACCAAAACACCCCCAGCTGTGCTGCTAACGCCCCTGACCCAGGGCTACCACATCCTCCTCCTCAACCTCCTGCCACTCCTCACCCTCCTCACACCGCTGCCACCCCGCAGCCCTGGAGCTGACCCCATTCAGTGCACAGGAAACTTGAATTGCCCAGCGCCAGGCCCCGGGGCCGCACCAAGAAAGGGACTTCACGCATCCATCTTGGGAATCCTCCAGAATCAGGGCATGCCACGTGGATCCCAACTGGGATCACAAGTCAGCCACACCCCTGGAAGAAATGGTGCCCAAGACAGGTCTCTCCAGGGGCGGCCTGGGTGCCCCTGCCTGCCCTCACCATCACCTGGTGGGCCTGTTTCTACATCACAGTCCCAAGTGCTGTCCTCTGTTGCTTCAGGAATCCCCTGTGAAGTCAAGGATCCCATCACCGCTCTGCAGGTCAGGAGCCTGAGTCAAGGGTGAGCAGGCTGGTGGTCCTGCCAGGTGGCGGGTGACCTGCAGACACAGGCCTCTCCTCGCAGATGGTGCTTGCTCTCCCCTCTCCCTCCGGTCAGGCTATGCCTTGGCTGAGCCCTGAGTCCACCTGCTCCCTGCCTGGACTCGGTCAGGGACAGGTGGTAAGACGGGGTGAGGCAGGATGCTTGGTTCCGGGGGACCAGCCAGACCCCAAGCTGGCTGAAGCAGCATGCGCCCTGCCTGCCTCCCTCAACTGACGGGTCCTGGAAGAATGGCATGACATGGCCAGTAGCTCCAGGAACCACGGCCCCGGGGGAACCATTTCCCCCTGCCCAGCTCTCACTTTGCCAGTCTCACCGCTGCCTTTGATTCCTGCACATGAACTCTCCCTGGCCTGGGGATGGGGCAAGAAAGGGCTGGACTCGCCTCCTCCCGGGGGAGAGCATCTCTCTCCCACATTGAGGTGCCGGGGAGTGACGTGTTGTCACGGGGGATGGATCTGGTGGTCAGTGCCGCCTGGTCATGGGGCCTGCAGCCGTGGTGCTCGACCCCTGTTGGTCCCACGGAGTTCAGACGCTGGCCTGCCTCCAGCTCAGACAATTTCCCCCTGGAGTGGCCTCCCCTGATGCCATGGCCTCCCTCTCTGCCTGGGCATTGGCTTGTTCTGGGTGAGAACACTCTTGCCATGTGTTGCTGAGTGTCCCCGGGCAGGCACCTGCCTTCTTTCTCTATGTAGCACCTGGGGTCCTACATGTCTCCTGGGGGCTGAGGTTGTGAGGTGGTTTCGAGGGCAGGCTCTCCCCTAGCTGGCCCTGCGACCCCAGGCAAATCGCTCCAGCTCCTCCCTGTCTGTTCCTGTCCAAAGGGACAAAGATCCCAGTAACTGTTTTGAGGCTCATGTAGGAGAAGGACAAGGCAGGTGTGACTCAGAACATTTACTGCCTGCATCCAATCAACCCTGATGAGTCCCATGTGGGATGGGCACCAGGGATGTAGAAATCAATAAGGCTGACACCTGTGCCGAGGACGCAGGAGCCCGGAGGGGAGGCGGAACTGCTGTGCCGGGCTGTCCGCCTATGCCGAGGACGCAGGAGCCCGGCGTGGGGGTAAGAGACGTGGAACTGCTGTGCTGGGCTGTCCGCCTGTGCCAAGGACCCAGGAGCCTGGCGTGGGGGTAAGAGACGTGGAACTGCTGCACTGGGCTGTCCTCATTCCAGCGCCACCTGGAAGGTGACACTGCTGTGGGCAGACAGGAGCTGGGAGAAGGGCGGGGCTGCTGGCGTGGAGCTGCCGAAGCCAAGTTGTGCTGGTGATTGAAGCAGGACGGGCACCAGCTGCTGTCCTGCCTCTCTGGCCTGGGCCTGCCAGATTCCAAGCCCCCTGAGCCACCGGAGGCAGGGGCAGCCCTCACCAGGAGCCACAGAATGAGCTGTGGCCACGGCCAGGTGTTTTCTCCCTCTCCCCGGGGCTGGTAAACACTTCACCACACCCACCCCACTGGGACTTCCCGTGTTCCCGCCCCCAGGCCGCCCGAGCCCACAGCAGAGCTTTCTCTCTCTCCGGTCTCCTGGCCTCTCCAATGCAGGCCGTGCTCCCAGATAATCCCATTATGAACAGGAGTTTCACTGAGATTTCGACCTCTCTGGCAGGACTGGGTGTGCAGAGTGGGTGTCTATGGCTGAAGGGCGGGGTCTGGAAACTGCGCGGGCCTGAGCTCAGACACAAGGCACTGCTGGGTGGATGCTGTGTCTTCTCCTTCTGGGGCAGGCCCCTGACGGGGCAGTCTAGAAATTGCGAGTCAATCACAGGCTGAGATGGAAGTCGGCGGGTGTGGGGGTAGGGGGTCCCCGGGACTCTTCTTGGGTGAAGAATTACAAGCGTTCACTCCCTGTACTCCAGGTCTCCCAGGCCGGCCTCTCCTGGTCTCAGCCCGGGGCCCATCCAGAGTGACCTGCTGTTGGTGGGCACGGTGGCGGGTGGGGTGCCCAGGGCGGGCAGGCTGTGTGTCTGTTGCGGGTGATCACTGAGCGAGTGGACGGCAAGCCTCATGGTCTAGGTGCGAACTGCCCCACAGCC